TGTGGAACAAATGCAGAGAAATTCTCAATGAAAGTTGAAGTATCAAAACACTTGTTTGAAAATGAATGAGTATAAAATGATGTTAAATTGTAATGGAAGAGGTGAGATCTAAATTATGAAACTAAGAGTATATATAACACCTTAACACCTCTATGAATGTGTGTGATTCAATGAAAATAAACAATGATTATGGAATGAATTTATCAAAATATTCAGGTTCAAAACAGACTGAAAAGCTACTGCCATACTCAGGAAATCGATTTTGGAATATGGGGTAATCGACTTCCTTTGAAACGTTGCAACTTAAAATTCAAATTTTTGTGAAGGAAATCCATTTTTGAAATAGGAGTAATCAGCTTCCATGACTAAAAATAGTTTGCTGAAAATTCAAAATTTTGTAAAGGAAATCGATTTCTGAAATAGGGGTAATCGATTTCCATGCCTAAAAATTATTTTTTGGAAATTCAAAATTTTGTGAAGGAAATCGATTTCTGAAATATGGGTAATCAATTTCCTGAACTAAAAATTGAAAAAATATTTGTTTTAATGTGCATAAATAGTTTGTAATTCAACTATTTTGGACCATGCATGTAAGTGAATATTTAAGAGTATTTTGAGCACTAAGTTATCAATATAGACTACATGCTTATGCCTCAATAAATTAAGATCAATGCTAGTCTCCATAAAGTTGCAATCTTGATCCATAGTCATTTTGCTTATATTGATTTTTCTCATCCTTTGATATATGCACATAGTAGTTGTCTTCATCAAAACATAATGTTGAAGAAGCTTGACTTCACATATCTATGATGCTAAATTTAACTTACTTATATTTGATTTGAAGCAGTACCCAACAAAAGCTTTGGCTTCTTTGATGCTGGAAGACTATCGAAAAGTGATGGTTGATCGTTGGGGTGAGGAAGAACAATTCACTTTTGTTTTTATCGTTGAGTGCATGAAGAAAGGTAATGTATTCTCCTCCCTTGCAGTATCTATATGTTGATTTGCGTTAGACAAGACATGTCTCTCATAATAGGTGCATGTACTCAAACATGTCAATGGATCACAAGTTATAAGACGTAAATTGTAGCTGATAGAGCTGTTGAAGACTATCTTTAAGTTATAAATTGAAGTAGCTACTGTGTCAAAATCTATGTGTTTAGTATGTATAAGTTGTATTGATGGATTACATGGTTTATGATTCAAAAACTGATGCTTCTTCTTTTGGTTGTCAAGCTGTGTATGAAGTTTAATGAAGTTTTATGGATGGATTTTCAATGGAAATTGAGTGTAGAACAAAAAGATGTGATTGTTACATGGTTCATGATTTTGGAGTTTGGTTTATGAAGGTTTTTAAGCACAAGTAGTGTGGAGTTTGGTTACAATAACTTTTTTCGGTTTTTATGTGACTTTTAGAAATCGGCAACTGGTGAGCTAAAAGTATATGTCAATTTTCATTTTGGTTGATTTTTTCCCATTAGTTGATTGATCATATCTGGAGCCAACAATTTCAAAAGCTAAATCAATACAATATGTTATCTATTAATGCAATAAATTTTTGTTTGGCAGGATATGATGCTGACTATTTATTCAACTGGAAGATTTTAAAATATTAAGAGGTATAACAAAGGAACAAAATGAATTCATTGTGTGTGTCTTCTTTTCACGTAGGTTATCCTGATTGTTACGCAATTGAAATAAGAAAAATAAGGATGATATCATGTCAATGAAAACTTATGAGTTGTTTAGTTAGTTGGCTTGGGTTAATTTTTTAAAGAAACATATTCATTAGAATTTGAAGTTATTTTTCTTAACCTCATTACAAGTATCGCTAGCAGAAAGTAATGTCTCTTTTGCTACTTATATAGATATCTTGTGGTTGCTATTCCTAATTTGATTGTTAATACTTGTCACAGGGAAAAATCAGAGTTTTGATCCACCTGTAAAAAAAATAAGTGATATCTCTACCATAATGTATTTTAGTGGAACTACTGGTGATCCCAGGGGGTATTGATATCCAATGAGAGTATTATTACCCTATTAGCTGGGGTTAAGCGATTATTGGAGAGTGTCGATGAAAAAGTAAGTAGTTCTTTGTTATATTTTACATGGTACTACATGAATGCACCGGTCATTCTCTATAATTAACTTATTTTCATTTCATTCGTGCATATTTAATATCAAATTTCAAAGCTCGGAAAATATTTATTCGATTTTAATATATTAAATGCTTACATGTTTCTTTCTTTGACTTACATAACCTCCCCTCCTTTTACTTCATTGCAGTTGACTGAGAAGGATGTATACTTATCATACCTTCCTCTGGCACATGTCTTTGATAGGGTCATTCAAGAGACATTTATATGGCATGGTGCTTTAATAGGCTTCTGGCGTGGGGTGAATATATGTGATAAATTAGTTGTTACTGAATTATAATTTAATATGATAATTGAACTTATCCATCATAACAATGGCTGCATAATATTAAATTGTTAATTGAGGACCTCGAAGAGCTAAAACCGACTATTTTATGTGTTGTACCCCGTGTACTTGATAGAGTCAACATGAAGAAAGGGCATAAGCATGCAGCAGCTCCACTTCTTGACAAAATTGTGTTTGATAAGGTAGTAAAATTTACTAATATTAATTACTGCCCCGGTTTGACAACAATGAGTTTTCTGTTTTGACTAATCATAATTTGGTCTTGCAATTTGATTAGGTAAAACAAGTTTTAGGGGGTAAAGTACGTGTCATTTGTCTGGAGCAACACCTCTATCTGTGCACGTGGAAAGTTACTTACGGGGTGGTGACTTGTGCTTGTGTCCTACAAGGATATGGTTAGTTCTTTCTGTATTTAGAAATCAAAATTTACCCCTGAAATATGCACACAAATATATAATTGAATCTCCATTTTGTATATTTAAAGATTAGATTAAATTATTTGTTCATTTAATTTTGAAGATTAAAATTGTGACTCACTAATTAGCAGTGTTAGACTGAAAGCACACACCGGTATTGTCTTATTTTTATTTCTCAAAAGCTATTTATAAAAAGTGACTTAAAAAACCCAAAAGGAAATAAACAAGTAAAGTCAATTAAATAAAAATAAATAAATAAATCACATCTTCGCCGCTACGCTCCACATATTTTCTTCAACTCCAACACTGGTCCTATCTTGCTTCCTCTGTCTCTTGTCAACACATCCACATTCAATTTGAAGATTACATCAGGTTATTCATTCTTCTTCCCCAATATTCTAGTTTCTTAATTTCACCTCACTTCACAATCACACACATCTTTTATTGCCATTAACTTCAATGTAACCTCCATAAGCATTTCTGCATTGAATTCTTTCCCACCGTTGAAAACCCATTGGAATTTAGTAACCGGTTTTATAAAAAAATCTGGTTTTTATAAATTTTATGGCTTTACCTGAATGCCCACTAACTGTTTGCTGAAATGTTTGGTCCACCTGTTTGTATAGACTTGAATATTCTGATGCAATTTTTGACGTAGGGTACTGTAATTGCACATGAATTAACTATCTAGATTTGAGTAGACAAGAAAAGAAAGTTATGTAATTGATAATATCATTGTGAACAGGCAGTAATGAAGGCCTTGCGAAGCCTTGAGGTCTGGAAACTGGGAGTTGTCAACTATTTGGATGCATTAAAACTGCAGGAAAAACTGGTGTTGGAAAGAAAATCCCATAAGATATGTGATACTCTTCTGTCTTTGCAACACTCCCCTACATACACGGTTGGCAAAAGACAAACGGTTCACAATTTACTAATCCCCCAGTCAGAATTGGAACAGATTGGAGCTGAATTTCACTACACGCAACGTGGAGGCGACATTACATTTCACGGTCCACACCAAGCCATTTTATATCCTATCGTTTCTCTGCGTGACATGGGACTTGGTGCGAGAACATTTGTAGAAAAGATTGAGTTAACTATGATTGAATTGGCAGGTGTATATGGTGTGAAAGCTTGTCCTGGACGAAGGTGTGAGACAGGAGTGTGGGTTGGAGAAAGGAAGATTGGGGCAGTTGGTGTTCGGATATCGAACGGAATCACTTCTCATGGTATGGCGTTTAACATTGACCCTGATTTAAACTACTTTAGGCATATTGTTCCATGTGGAATTGCAGATAAAGAAGTGACATCTTTGAGAAGGGAGACAGGTTTTGACCTTCCCTCGGAAGAAATAATACAAGAGGAGTTGATTTCATGTTTTGCAAGAATCTTTGGTTATGATAAAGTGATCTGGAAGGAGGGTACTTCTATATTGTCTGATAAAAATGAAACTGAATGAGACAGCTATTTTCTGTCAGTAAATTGTTGTATAACAGTTATTCATTTCTTGTATTATTTTGAAGTATTTAACCAATAAAATTCTTGTTTATTCTACATATATAGACGTTCTTTCGCATTTGTCTATATCATAGGTTAATTAGGCAAAACTTATACATTCTACTTTTACTTCTTTCTTACTGAGTTCTATACATATGCAAGTGAAAAAAATAATATAGTAAAGGATGGACACCAATTAATTGCAGATGATTAGTCACATGATCCATATTAGCATGTGATGGAAACACTAAAGAAGTGTCAGAGATGTATGTGATTTGGTCAAGGATCACATGACAAGCTGCTTATTTCCATGTTCTACTACACAACAAAACAAAGATGTGGCAGATCCAATAATCCATTATCTATGTACCTTCCTTCCCTTTCCTCTTCCTTAAATCTGAATCATTCACAAAACTATGTATTGCTTTGTTCATCATTGTCCATTAAAGCCTTCAAACATCAATAAACAATTAACAAGAATTGCTACACTTTCAGATACACACACATGATAGATCCCCTTGCATTTTAGACTCCAACTTCAAAACATTCTTATGGGATAGTTTAAACTCCCAAGCACAATAATTCTCTTTTTTTTTTTTTTTTTTTTCTAGTATCAGTTGTTGTTTGTTTCAGCTCAAGCCTGCCATGATAACCACTCAACGTGTTTTTTTGGGTCTCTTTGTCTTAATGCTCTTAAATTTCATAACATGTTCTATAGTTTTGATAAATAGTGAAACTAGAAGTAATCTTATAGATAGTTTTCTGCCACGGAAGCTGCTAGTTCATGTCTCCTCCTTCACTGCAAGTTTAGATAAGTTGGAAATATCTTATGAAACCACCCAGAGATCTGTGAACACAAGTTTAAGGCAGGCTCCTGATAGCAAATCAAATCCAATCCATAACAAGCGACTTTGACATCTATTACGACCGGAAATCTGGAGGAGGAATTAACTCTACAATTTCCTAGTTTTGTCCGGCTAACTGTTGATTAGGTAGGAAAGCTGGATTTGCATTCAAGATTGCACTAGCTTTTAGGTCTTTGTTGAATTTTATTCTTGCATTGAATTACAAAATGAGTTATCAGCTGATGTAATGGCCTCTAATGGGAGCATATTATACTAGAAAGTTAATTACGCAGCATTGTTATGTACTTGTATTTTATTAGATTAGATCTCTTGTCGGAGGCAGATTTCATACAAAAAGAGTTCAGTTCTAGATAGGATGAAAAGTGTAATATAACCAAAAATAATCAAGCATGATGCTGCAAAACATTTTATTATAATCTTTCAAAATTGAAACAGGTAACAATTTCTTGCTTCAGCAGAGGTTTCAAAAGGTGGTTGCTTTTTAGGCGTCCATTATGACATGGACAGTTTCCAGAGAAAATCCTTTCCTTACACTTATATTCAGTGTTTTGGAGTATTGGGTTAGAGGATGTGTAACAGTGACATCATAATCCCCATAATATAGTGAAATATCTATAGTTCCTCTACTATCTGCTATGGCTGTTTGAGGGCCAGTTCCCCACTTGCGAATCAGCTTGTCCACAACATCTCCGGCAGGAGTATTTTTAAAATTTTTATCTGCAAGTAATGTACTGTCGAAACCAGCTTGTTCTGGTCCTACAAACATTATAATCCCTTTAACAGCAGGATGAGAGAACCCCTCTCTTAGTACGTCTTCAAAGTACTCTGCCTGCCCAATAAACAAAGAATGAGAAAGAAACGTTCAGTTTCTGTTTTTCATGTGATATAATCTGGCGTGCAATGGCTATGAAACTAAATGTTCTTGTCATATACCTGATTTGGCTGAGCATCCACACTGACTTCTGTGAGCCATATAGGAAGTCCAGTTGCGGCAAGAAGATCTAAACCTGATCTCATGTAAGCAAGGTTTGGCACACCACTTGGAAAATGGCCTTGCAACCCTATGGCCAATGATATTCCATCAATTCCTGGAAATTGCTGAATCTCCTTAAGTTTCCTGAGATAATTGGTTGGGCTGGCATTCTTATCCCCAATGACCTCAATGGTGTTATACTCATTCATGAACATCTCGGTGTTTGGATCAAGACGGTAAGCTGCTAAATAATATTCTGCAGAGAAATTTTCGCCAAGTTTGTCCTCAAAAAAGTGAAAGTGGACATTCTCATTCACGACATCCCATGCAATAACTTGTCCTTTATACCTTGAGACAACAGAATTCATTCTTTTATCAGCTGCTACTCGTAATTCGTCAGGAGACAAGGTCAAATCCCAATGAGGTTGACGTCTTGGACTGTCCCACAAAATGTTATGACCTCTTACTGAGATGCCATTTTCTTTAGAAAACTGCAACATGGCATCTGGGATGGTATAGTTTTCGTGGCCTTGAACTATCTCTGTACTATACCACTTCATCTCGTTGGTGAAAGTCGTGTATTTGAATCTTGAAACAAACCATTTCTGGTATTCACTGTTTGTGAGGATATAATGGTTCATCGCACATCCAAATGGAAAATCTGCCCTTGTTTGTTTGATTACAACGGTTGCTCCTTCCAACGCTGTTCCGTTTGGATGAGTTACCTGGAATCTCACACTTCTCTTACGTACCTGCAGTTTATAAATTGCAAAACTTGTTAATACCTTTTTTCTTTCTGCTATACTTCTACTACTGATTTTCACTGCTATCAAGTTCATTCCTCTTGATGACAACATGCTTATTGCGATCTATGTGAAAATAACTTAAGAGCCAGCTTACCCTCTCAACGCTGTCGTGTTGGTGTGATCTCCATTGCTTTCTGGTGAATGGTTGTAAGGACACACTATCAGCCCATAGTTCCACAGTCGGATTCTCAATCTGCATTGCTAGTAAATTTTAGATAACAAAATACCAAGAAATTTAGCAAAATAAGATCAGATGAAAACCAATTCACCTCAAAAAGAATCTCAACATGTCTTGAAAACTTTGCAACTATGCCCCCTTTTAGCAGAGACCAACATCCATGCTTGGCTATCGCATGGCCACCATGTACCAATTCACTTCCATTTGTTTTAAAAACAACCGAAACAATGCCACTTCCTTCACTCAGCTGAAACCAAGCTGAAATGTGGAAAATGTTTTACAACCCTAAGTTAAAGAATCACCAGCATGGTATAACATTCATCACACAATCATTAACAAAAAATAAACACAAGTTACCAGAAAAAATGTATATAATTCCTTTCTTCAGATGAACCTTCTGTGAGAAACCATCCAATGCTCGTGTTCTGTTGCGAGAAACAATGAATCGATTGCCATCACTCGATACCCTTTCCACAATTGTTCCATTTCCAACCACAGTCCAACCCTTTAAGTTATGTTCAAACCCTGGATTTACTATAATCCCTCCTCCATATTGTGCCCTATGAGGTTTTTTCACACACTGCATTATTTCAAGACATTGGCAACACAAGTTAATAAAATATAATCATAAACATCTTAACTGTTAAAAAAGTGGCATTACCTTAGTAGTAGCAGAATAATCATAGGGTTTAGAATGGAGTTGAAACCCTGCATGTGTTGAAAAGATACATACACTATTACAGAAAAAGGAACACTAAAGAGTAGTGAAATTGAGGGAGAGAAAGGAACCTGAAGAAAGGAGTAGAAGGCAAGATGCGGAGAGCAAGAAAATGCACAGCTCTGCTGCAACAACAACCTTCATCTTGTGACTAATCAAACAACAATGCACTTTCCAATTTATAGCAAAAAAATTTGAACATGTGAAACATGCATATTGTAAACTTCATTCAATACATGTGTATTTTTTTTGTTACAAAAAAAAACTAAAAACTAAATACACATTTTTTTAGTTTATTGGATTGAGATTTTAAATAAATTTAAAAGACTTTTCTATGATAATTGTTGTGATATTCAAATAAAACTATTATAAAACTCATACATTTTGTGGTATTGAATTTAGACAATCACAATATTTCTTTTTAGGATAATAGAAATCGGCTGGTATTCAATTGAGATTTTTCATAACATATAAAATGTATAATGATATTTAAAAATCTATGGATGTTAAAGAAATTTTCAATAGAATGGATTTTGAAAAAAAAATTAGTTGAAAATATGCATATCATTTCACTATAAACCATGAAATTTTTTCAAATACTTTCAAGACTTTTTCAGTCATCATGCTTCATACTATATTATTATATTTTATTTTCATTCACTTTGTTTTTTTTTTAATTATTGTAATCCATACTATATTATTTTTCTTTCTATCATCATGTTTTATTTTATATTATTTTTCTATCATAATTTTATTTATACATGTTTATTATTATTTTTCTCTAGAACACTTTGAATATGATCTAACATTTTGAATATCACACCTTTTTTTTTTGGGATCTTTAACATGTCTAAATTATTGTATATATATTTTTGAATATTTTTAATTGATATTGTGTTATGTTTTTTATAATATTAGTATTATTTAAATTCTATACGTGAATATTATTTTTTGTTAATTTTTTTCATTAATTTATACATGAATTATTATTTAGTACATTATCACTAAGATTTTAGATAATAAGAAAAAAATAATTGCTCTTTTGAAAAATAACTAGTGGGATACCCGTGCGTTTGTACGGGTACTGGTCGGGCACGCTCATTTGTTGAAATAGTTGATTGAACGAAAAAGACAATATGTTATTTCCAGAATTAGTTGATGTTTATGTTAATGTACGGAAAAAATTCATCACAATATAACGTAGTTTTACAAAATAATTTAGCTTTATAAATATTAGTTTAAAGGATAAGCGGAGTAATAAAAAATACATTCAACGAAAAAAAAATTGATTGATATTTATAAATACAAGGTAAAAAAGGAAAATGAAAAATAAATGATGGTTGAAAATGGAAAACGTATAAACCTCTTTTAAAGCACAAAACAAAAGATCGTAAGTTTTGTCAAGCATTTTCCCTTATAGGTGCATTAATTCTAATTGTCACATAATGATAATAATAGAATTATAGGAAAAACATACTTAATTATAAGATAAGATAGTATTTTAAAACATATATAAGTTTAACGATACACAAAATAATTTTGGTAAAGACATTCAAAAGATACAGAAATACCATAAGTTTTGAAACAAACATATTGGTCAAATATTTAAGTATTGAAAACTTTGACTTTTTTTGGACTTTCTTGATTCTTGATGATCAAGTTTGATATTTTTGAATGTCTTGATGAATTTTGATCTTTGAAATTTAATGTTGACCAAAAAGTCAAAGTTTGACTTTTCATCAGTTGATCAAATTTCAATTGTCAATCCATTGATCTTGAGAAATGATTTGAGCCATGAAATTAGGTCAACATGTTGTGTTTTAGTCCTTGAGATCACGTTTCAAGCCATTAGGTCATGTACTAGGTCAAAAGTCCATGATCAGTCATTCTCAGCCAAAACCCTAATTTTGACAATTTTGCCCCTTTGATGATTTGAGTGCGTTCCTTGAGGCATTGTGATCCAACCTTGATCAATTGATAAAACATGACTTCAAAATGTTGATGTTGGCCAAAAATCATGAAGTTTGACTGTACTTTGACCATGGTTGACTTTTCACCCAATACAGTTGATTTTCAGCCACCTGAGCAATTGACTGAGCAAATTTGTGATGTAAGACTTGAAACTTGGTATGAGTAATATTGGAGACCTATAATGAACCATGAAAGTCATTTGAGGCATTAAAAGTCTAATTGTCCTTGATAAAATCAAAACCTTAATTTGGAGGCTCAGTGCTTAGGAGGTGAGCTTATCTGATCAAACTCTTTGAAACTTTTTGAGCATTTGAGATCTTTTGTGAGAAATGTCTTGAGAATAGAGAGGGAAAATTTTGGGGTACAACAAGACGCTTCTAATGATACCAGCCTCATGAGCAATGGTTACTTCTTCTTGAAACGTGAATTTCCCTAGTTGCAGATGGCTGGAGGTTGAAGATGACCAACCTGTCATCCTCAACCAATGAAAGTGTGCCATATGAAATAATTTGATTGGTGTGACTTCTTTGGATCAGATGCACGTGGTTTGACTTGTGTCCACCATACATCACCACCTCTCATCTATTTGATGTGCCAGCGTGTTTAAGTGACTTAGATCCAACGTTTCCACATTTTTCTGATTTTTTTTTATTTTACAAAATTATTTTTAAATTCATTTTATCTTCAAAAATTCATAACTCCTTTATTTTTATCCAAAAATTATGAAAAATTACACAAAAATACTTTGAATGATTTATGATTTTATGGATATCTTCTTAGATTTTTATTTTTATGTTTGCTATTTTTTATAATTTTTAGATTATTTGCTTTGTTTTAATTAGTTTTAAAATGTTTTTATTACTTTTTAAATTCTGAAAAAAATATTTTATGATCCAACGATAGTTTCTGACCTATGGTGATTTTATTTGGTTTTTATTTTTAGCTTTACTATTTTTCATCCTTTTTTGATCTTCTTGCTTATTTTTTATTAGTTTAAAAATAGTTTCTGATTTCCAAAAATGATTAAACTATTTTCTAAAAATATTATGGACCATCTCTGATTTTTCTATGGTCTTAGTTGATTTTTATTTGATGTTTTAAATATAATTTCGTATTTTACCTTTTATTTCCATTTATAGACCATTTTGTAAAATCATTTTCTTATTTTATTTTATTTTTATTTTAGCAATTTAAATTTTGTATATTCTAGTTGGCTTGGATCTTGATCATTTAGGTCATGAATTTTATCAACATCAACAGGACTTGGATGTTGATAGGTTGAAAGACAAAATTCACCAAAATGGATGATTGATTTTGATGAAGTTAGACCTAATTCATGATCCAATTTGAATTTCCACTTTTGTCTTGTTTACTTTATCGCATCTTTATCTCTTTCTTCTTTTTTTCTCCTTAGATCAATTGGATGATTGATGATTCATCTTGTTCAATTGAATGTGGATTGGTACTTGATGAACTTTCATCATTTTAAATCTATCTCTAAGTGATTAATTGATCACTCTAGGTACTTTGGATTAGTGAAAGTTTGTCCTAAAGTATCATGAAGGATTTGATTAATGTAATGATCTCATCTCCATGACCTAGGTCTTGATCCATTTTTGTTTTTACTTCTGCTACATGTTTTAGGAGTATAATTTTTACCTTATCTCTAACACGTATGGTACATACATTGTTATTGACAGACCTCGTATAGTATTGACTTCTACATAATTACGTATGCGATTGCTTAACATAATGCTAAATTTGTTCCAGATCAGAAAACTAACATATTAACTATAACATTTATTGTACTAACTTTTATTATAATGCAATTTAAATTCCTCGCAATTTACTTTATGTCATTTAATTTCACCATCTTTATCATTCACGTCATTTATCTTTTTGCTCTTTATTTTATACCATTTTCTTTGTCCACTTGAACTTTCATTTTATGTCATTTTTCCTTTGTCCACTTGGACTTTTATTTTTGTTCTTAAAATCATTAATAATCAACTTAAACATTAAAAGACTTAAGGCTCTTTATGGACTATGGTTACTATCCCTTGGCATATTGGAGTATTTGGACTTTTGGACTTAGGATGGGACCTTGTTACTTGGAGACTTTTGGACCCTGGAATCTTGTTGTTATTTTGTCTATATTGGGAACTTTTCTGTGTGCAGGTTGTGATACGGTGGGAGAAATGACTTGAGGTTTTACGTTTGTGTTCGCAAATGTTTCGGTTTAGCAAGAGTCGCCACCGACTTTTTATTTTATCCAAATGAAAGGTCAAAAAGCACAGGAAAGACCTTTGAGATGTTTTCTTGGGTTCGGGGGGTAGATTATGAAAAGGGAAGGTGCTAGCACCCTTTTCATCCATGGTTATCCATGGGCTCTTAGTTACTTGTTTAGATCACTTGCTTTTGCTTTTCAATTGTTTGAAATGGTGCTTTGTGTGTGGTTTTGAAAATGTTTTGAAAAGAGGCCATCGTTGTGGCAACCTTTGTAATGATTCTTGTTTGAATATATACAAAGGTGTTTGTCTTTTGAAAAGATATTTCAATGTTTGAAAGTTTGTTTTGGGAAATGTTTTGAAATTGTGTGGTGATGTGTTTTTGAAAATAGCAAGGATGTTTACAAGTTTTGATCAAGTAACTAGGAGCATCTACCCTATCTACTCAAAGATCTTTCCTACACATTTTTAACCCTTTTGACAGTGTTGTTTTACCATTGCATTTGGTAAACAACCTTGTGTTTGGATGTTAAACCTGACAAGCACGGGTCATCGTATTGACCATGATAGCAATTGTGCCAAGTATCTTAGCAAATTTTTGAAGGACTAGATCATTTTGTATAGGCAACCCTAGGGGTGCATGTGTGCATTGTGTTATCATTTTCATGCATTTATGTCTTGTATTAGGTCTAGCTATTTATTTTGATTTTGGATATTGCATACAAACCCTAATCTCTATCATGGCATATTTGAAAGCATAAAGTGCGTAAAAATAAATCTAAGCTATTACAACATTGATATGGGGAGGGGGATACAATTTTGAATGGGGAGTATTTGCAAGAAAGTAAAACCCTAAGATTAACTATTACATCCAAATTGAATTCTTGGTATCAAACAATAAATAAACAAATATTTTAATAGACAATTAAATAAATATGCAATTTA